ATACCAGAGACATTTTATGGGGGTGGAGTGGGGAATGGGACCAAAAACAGGGGGGTGGGGAGGGAAGTGACAGGATTATGGTGATGGCACAGGGGTGACTTGGTGATGGGAAGCCCGCGGGGATTACAATTGAGAAGGAAAAAAAAATGTACAAAGTGATGTAAAAATAAACTGTTATAAAATAATAATAAAAAAAAAAGCTCTTGGGTGTCCCTGGAAATCTAGTTATTCCTGTCTTCAGACTCACAGAGAAAGCCAGGAAGTTGGGGCGTGACCCCCTGTGCTAGCCCCCTCAGACCACAGGGAGCCAACTGGTAGGGGCCTTGGAAGGGAAGCATCATGGCCTCCTCTGGCCACACGGAGCCAGCCTAGGTGAGAGAGAGTGAGACAACCTAGGTGAAGGAAATTGCAAGCCAGTGGGTAGAGTTGCCTCTGTCTGTCTGAACAGGTCGAGCCCTCCTGGCAAGCCCTGTCCAAGCCCAGCACACTGACCACGCGATGCCTTGGTAAGACAAACTGTTAGGTCCTGACTAAGGGTTGTCTCATACTCTACTGGAGGGAGGAGGGGGGAGCCCACAGTCCCAGCTGGAATGTAGCCCATCTTCACATGCCGGGCCTAGCCCAATCCAGACCACCTAGGAGACTGCTCCCCTCCCCACCTCACGCGCCACTCATCTTCCTAGATTCTCCAAGAACACTGGGATGGCCAGTGTTCAACTCCTCAGTCTTTCCTAGAAAAGTGCTCCTGAATTTTTTGCCTACTTAGTGGCGTCTCCTCCTACCCCTTACTCTGGGGGATTATAAAATATTAGACCCAGATGCGTCTCTCTTTCTTTCAAAAATAACTTCTAAGAGTTCTTTTCTTGTTGCAGAAGTTATACAAGCTGGTGATAAAAATCTGGAAACAAATAAAAGGAAGAAAAGAGTTTGCCATCTTGCTGAGAGGTAACCACCATCTGCACTGAGGTGCACATCTTCCAGTCTTATCTCCTGTACATATTTCCTTTTACAAGTTGGAACTATTTTCTCTATGCTGCTTTGTAAATTACTTTTCACCTTTAACAGTATGATGCAAATCTTTTGCAAGATTTTATTACCCTTTATTCAATCCTATGTTTTCACTTTAAGATTGAATCATCTCAACTGCTAAGTTTTTTACTTAGTTGAAAAGAACATTGTTGAAAAGAATATCCCTGTAAACATTGTTGAAAAGAATATCCTTGTAGCTGAAACTTTTCACAGCCTTGGGATGAATTCCCAAAAGTACAATTGCTGGGTCTCCGAGTATGTAAAAAGTCAACACTTTTGCAAATCTACTACAGCTCCCCAGGAAGTGTCAATTTACAGGCCAGCCAGCCAGATGTAGGATTCCCCACAGCCTCGAAAATTCTAACTATGGCCTTCTTTTCAAACTTTTCTCCATCTGATAAGCAAAGGGGTGTTTTGTCTAAACTGGTGTTTCTCCCATTACTACTGAGGTTGGATATCCATGCTCACTGGCTACCAGTATTTTTGTTGGAGATATCCAACCCGGACAGGGCCCAGCAGGAGGGCCGGTCACTACTCCCAACAGGGACAGGGCCCAGCAGGAGGGCCGGCACTACTCCGCTGCACCGCTCTGCTCCCAGGCTCCTGCACAGACGCAGGAGCTTCCGCAGAAGGCGAATCATCAAAACGACAGTAACTACAGCTCGCTTCACCAGCTCGGCCTCAGGAAGGCTGCCCGGGCGCCCGGGCATCCGCACGCAGTCCAAGCGCAGGGTTTTACCTTCCCCCTTGCCATAGGAGGAGCTGGCGGTCCAGGACTTGGCCTCCACGTAGCCCAGCTCCCGGCAGACGACGTGGGCGGCGTGGATGGAGAAGTCGTCGTCGCACACGGTGCCCCACTGCCCGCTGTAGTATACCTCCACCCGCCCCTCGCTGTGCTTCCTCTTCTGCCCAGCCAGGCGCACCTGAATCTTGACGACGTCTGAGGGCGCCTGGGGCCGCTGGTACTCGGGTGCGGGCTGCTGGAAGTACTCGGGGTAGTGGGGCCACATCTCGTACTGTGCCAGGCTCAGGGAGGGGAGGAGGGAGAGCACAGCTAAGCAGCTGCGAAGGCGGGAGCCCCCAGGCCTCTCCATCCCTGCCCTCTGCTGGAGGATCTGGTGAGGCGGGCTGGGCAGGTAGGCGAGACTGGCAGGGTTCCTGGGAGAGAAGAGAGAGAGGCAGGTTAGAGTCTGCAAAGCCCCCCTGGTCCCCTGGTCTTCACCTGGACTCCAAGGACTCCAGCTTCCTCTGTTCTCCCGCCTTGCCCTGCAGCCAGGCAGATATGTGAGTTCCCACCTCCTTGTATCTCTGAAATGTTTCTTTTTCTTTTTTTTCCTTTTTTTGGGGAGGGCTCACAGCAGGAAAGAGTATATACTTAAACTTCGTTTGAGGAGAGTTTTTTCAAAAAAGATTTATTTATTTATGCTTACAGCACTGGGGTACAGGCCAGAGGTGTGGTGGGTGAGAGGATTCACCAGAGACAGAGTGGGGAGCAGAACAAGCAGATCTACTGAAATATACCGCTGAGGGAGCAGTGGGC